TGTTAGTTAGTGGTAGACTATTGTTTTACAACACTTGTGTGTGTTTACTCATGGTTTATGAGGACAATATTTGGTTTATGAGGACTCATATGACTATTGTATGTTAGTTAGTGGTAGACTATTGTTTTACAACACTTGTGTGTGTTTACTCATGGTTTATGAGGACAATATTCGGTTTATGAGGACTCATATGACTATTGTATGTTACTCAGCAGTAGACTATTGTTTTACAACACTTGTGTGTGTTTACTCATGGTTTATGAGGACATTATTCGGTTTATGAGGACTCATATGACTATTGTATGTGACTCAGCAGTAGACTTTAGTTTTACAACACTTGTGTGTGTTTACTCATGGTTTATGAGGACATTATTCAGTTTATGAGGACTCATATGACTATTGTATGTGACTCAGCAGTAGACTTTAGTTTTACAACACTTGTGTGTGTTTACTCATGGTTTATGAGGACATTATTTGGTTTATGAGGACTCATATGACTATTGTATGTGACTCAGCAGTAGACTTTAGTTTTACAACACTTGTGTGTGTTTACTCATGGTTTATGAGGACATTATTTGGTTTATGAGGACTCATATGACTATTGTATGTGACTCAGCAGTAGACTATTGTTTTACAACACTTGTGTGTGTTTACTCATGGTTTATGAGGACATTATTCGGTTTATGAGGACTCATATGACTATTGTATGTGACTCAGCAGTAGACTTTTGTTTTACAGCACTTGTGTGTGTTTACTCATGGTTTATGAGGACATTATTCGGTTTATGAGGACTCATATGACTATTGTATGTTACTCAGCGGTAGACTTTAGTTTTACAACACTTGTGTGTGTTTACTCATGGTTTATGAGGACATTATTCGGTTTATGAGGACTCATATGACTATTGTATGTTACTCAGCGGTGGACCACTTTTTAACAACACTTGTGTGTGTTTACTCATGGTTTACTCATGGTACGGTTAACACACACAAGTGTTTTTAACAATAGTGTACAGCTAAATCACATTTAGTAGCAATAACAGAATTTCACTTAAGATCATGTTATAACGCGTGTGAAACTTAATTGTCAAAAGTATTAACAAATCTCTTCAGGAGATGTGACTTCACTTCCTGTCAAGGCTGGAGCGTCAGGCTCATGGACAAGCTGGAAGACAGAAACAAGGAGAAAGGAGCAATCTGAAAGAAATCTGAAGCAACTGGATGATAATAGTATAATTTTTTTAATAACTTTTGGAAATATTCTACCTTGCACGTTTTCTGCCCACAGCGAGAACGCCATGGCAAGTCATGTCCTCCATAATCATAGGTTATCTCTTCACCCTTATTGATGTCTTTCACAGTAAATAAACAAAGATGAGGCTTTCCTTCCAGTTCAATTTTCTTCATTTTGCCATTTGGCTTTTGACTGTCATTTACCAGTCTCCAGAGTGAACCGTCATCAGAGGAGGCATCAATGCTATATGAGAAAAAAAAGTAGTTGTTACAAATGTTCACTAAAGTAATGCTCTAGAAAGGAATACATAATTGGTAATCATTTTAATCTGCCCCAAAACTGTGTGTGGTATTTGGTTTCAGGGTTGAGAAACACATTTCAAAAGATGCACAGGAATTTACATAGAGCAAAATACAGTCTACTTACCAGTAGTCACATCCTCTGTGTTTGAAGTAGTATGTATAATCATTTGTTGTTTTTTTCAACTTCCATTTTTCTAATAATGTTCCCCTATATTGAACAATAAAGGAACCTTTCACGATACGTGTTGTGGCAAACACACCCCGACCTAAATGAAATAAAAATCAAGAAGAAACTGTTTAACAATTTAAACTACGTAAAGGCAACAGCAAGCATAACCATAGCAAGCATAATCCACCATCCCATGATCACTCTGCAAAGCCATGCCTTCTCAAACACACGAACGCGCTCAGGTAGAGCAGAGACTAACCAGTGACACGGTGAGAGACAGCGTTGGCGGAGAATTGAATGCATTGCTGAGATAAAAGATTATCTCACGTCTCATTCACCCACCGGTGAGAAAACATTGCACAAGACTTTGTTCATTTGTTAACCATTGTTAATGTTAATTTCAACATTTAGGCTACTAATAGCCTACATTATTGAAATAATTGTTTTTTATTTGTTAACATATGCACTGTGAAGTAATATGAACGAGCAATGAACAGCTGTATTTTTATTAACTAAGATTAACAAAGATTAATACAGCATATTAATAGCAATAGAGTGCCAAGCAAAAAATGCGGGGACAGGTCGTTCCGCTCTATTGGCAGAGCTAATTATACGTCAAATATAACACCGCATACACCATCGCCAAAGAAGAGCTTGCCTTCACTAAATTTAAACCTATGTTGCAGCTCATGGAAGAACGGAGTTGCGATTAACATGACGTATGCAAATGACAAATCATGTGCCAATATCATCAGGGTGAGAGATGATATAGAGCCAGAAGACCAAATCTTGGCCACAGGATGTGTAAAGCCCCAGTGAAATGAAATCTATTAATTAATACAGGGCTCTAGAGTGCGACCAAAATTTGTAAGGGTGCGACGAGAATTTTTCCTAGGTCGCACCAGTGCACCTAACGTTCTCGCATGATCGCATCCGTTGCCTCTCCACAAACGAGTCTTTTGTTCTCCTTGCACGCATGGTTGGATCATATCGTGGTCTAAACCAATCAGAGATAGAGATTGGGTGGGTCTTTGCCTCTGATTGGCTGTGGTTCAGATATTCCTGTAGGACTAAAATGCTCTGTGCTGTGTGATTGAAATAAATGGCGACCTGTCACCTGTCCTGAGCACCAGAGAATCAGTTACGGAAATCAGCAGCATCAGCTAAATAAACGCAGGAAAACAGACGACGAAGAAACTTTTAAAAATGTAGGCTACTTGAACTAGGTAAAACATATTGATTTCTCGATTTTAATCGATTCTCATTGATTTTTACGAACCGTTGGGCTATGCTGTTTTCAGTTAATGAATGAATGGAACATTGTAGCGAGCATCCCATCCAATAAATCGCAATAATCTTTGTGCTTTGTTACTATTGATATGAAACAAAGTCTCAGATTTCAAATTTGGTCAATTTTCTTACGAAATTCAAAAACATAAATAGTGTATTGACGCTGTGGCGTGAGATCGCTCTGGCTCAGCTCAGCTCAAGAGAAGCAGCAGCGCGGAGCGCACATGATCTCCTCTTCCGCCTTAATAATACCAGTTACAGCGCCAAATAAACATGAACGAGCATCTGAAAGTGTGTTAAAAGATAGAGTACAACTTATCGAAATTCGTATCATGTCACATGGAATCGCTCAATCAGTGTTTCAACCGTGGAAAGACGTCAGTAAAACGCTTGTAAACAATGTAATGTAACGTCACATTTACCTCAGAAAAAACATATCCAGTGCCCATAAACTCGTTAGCTAGCTAGAAAAATTAACTCTAGAGGAGCATTGTGCCTAATATATGCACCATATTACATATTCATTATAATTTTTAATGTTTTTCAATATTGAATGCATGTTGTTTGAAAAAAATCTGGCAAGTTTTTATGCAGCCACCATTTAAATGTTTATATTTCATATAACTTTATTATTATAAGTGTAATTTAAGTGTTTGTGTACAAATCAGGTAATTTTTACCTTCAGTATTATAGTAGGCTAATGAAGCATAGTGGGCTACAACTGACTCCCAGTTTACAGCATTAGTTGAGATTTGTTTTTCTTGAGAAAATTGGCCATGTATTGTACCTGATATCCAAAATAATCAATATTGAATCGAATTGTGAAATTTGTGTCAATACCCTGCCCTAACTTGAACAATGTAAAAACAGCACTTTACTTTTTTTTTTAAAGGTTTATATTTTTAAATACAGTATAATTGTGCTTCAAATAATAAAAAAAACGACACCTTATTCTTGTTTAAAAGCATTTACATAATATATATGAATACATGGAGCGTGATAAAAAGGTGATCTTGAAATTGTGGCGTTAAAGGCGACGCGAGACGAGGAAAAATTTGAGTGCACCTAAATTTTGTGCTGGTGCACCTAAATAAAAAAGTTAGGCGCACCAGTGCAACCAAGGCAAAAAGTTAGTCTGGAGCCCTGTAATATATAATTTGTAGTTGTGCTGCTCCTAAATTTTTGCTGGTGCTCCAAACTTTTTGAAGTTGGGAGCACCAGTGCTAGCAAGTAAAACAGTTAATTTTGAGCCCTGTTACAGTACAAAGCACATAATATTTAGGGATGGGGCCAATCCGATCCAGTATCGGGACCGATACCAGCGTAATTCACGTATCGGATTTTCCCAATCCAACCTGCGGAGATTTCCGATCTCCATGAGCCATGTCTGCGCTTTAACGTTGTCTGCTGAAATGACTCCAAAAGTGATTCCCGCTGGCTAGTCTGCTTGCTGCCTGCAAACTTTGGAATGGATTTCCTGAACGGAGGTGCGGCTCAATGAGACAGACACAGAGTTATGAAACACGCCCCCGCTCAGGAAATCCATTCCGCAGTTTGCAGCCAGCTTGCAGGATCGCATTGAACAGCATTGGGTCTGTTTACAGACGTTAAAGGGATACTCCACTGTGTTTTCATATTAAACCATGTTATTCACTTAACTAAGACGAGTTGATACATACCTCTCTCGTCTCAGTGCGTGCACTATATCGCTCTGTATTGCCGCAAAACTGTGTTAGCACTTAGCTTAGCCCAGTGCATTAAATATGGGCCACAAAGAGAAGCCACCAAACTCTTCCTCGTTTTCCCTATTTAAACACAGTTACTCGAGTAGTGTAACTCGACCAAGTCTGGTGACAAAAAATAAAACGTTGTGTTTTCCTAAGCGTTTAAAGTTGATGACTATATTGTATGGCGGAATACCATCAAAAGTGCTTTTGAGCACGTCTTCGACTTGTCGCAATAACACCTTCACTCGTGAAAAGTCCTCTTACCGGCTCCCGCTTCCTCTCCCCCTCCCTCTCATTTCCGTCAATAAAACAAACGTGACTTTTACTAGCTAACGTTACCTGTGCTATTAGCAAACTGTAGAACATTTGCAATGGCGGACTTTCTAGATGATGATGACTTCTTTGTAGCAGACCCAGAGCCATATCTGTTTGAACCCGAGTACACGGAGGAGGAATTAGCTCTTATGGACCGTGAGAGGGAAGAAAGATATGATCAAGAACAGACCGGAGCTGGCGAAAGACCACGGGCAAACAGCAATTGGTGGTGCAAGTGTGACTGTTGCGAACAGATGCCGACCGAAATTGAGAGCCTGTGCTGTTTAGAATGGGACCAGGTATTGCCATCGAAGGTGGTGGTCAGTGTCGATCCAGAAGACCCTGGACAAATCGCATGTGTCGCGGCAAGCGATGCGTTTGCAGCGATGATTCACCCGGCAGTTGTAAATTTTTTCTTTCATCGTGACAAAGTCAATTGGAGGAAACGACCAACGCCGAGTGGACCAGATGGACAGCTATCATCAGAGTAAGTGCTATAACCATTTAAATAAGTCTATTTATCATGTTTTCACTTATTAATGTATAAACTTAGTGTATATCTGTCTTCTCAGTCAAAATAGGTTGGTGTGCTACCGGATAGTGCTGGAATGGGCCCTACAGGGTGAAACTTTGGGCAGAGGCAATCGGAAACCACTGCCATCATGTGTGGTCGGGACTATACGACAAAGATATCCTTCAGAGTCCGGTGTCTATGTTGGATTTCAAGAACTAAATGAGGCAATGGATATGTAGTCATATGACTGTTACAGTTTTTATATATTTATTTTTATTACAACCATAATGTAGATGTGTCTATCACTTTTTTATTTTCAATGTCCTTATTTGTATTCAGTTCAGTAAACTATATTTTTTTGTTTAAATAAAACTTTGGAACCTACAACATCTGTAGTGATATTTTTATCTCGTTCGATAAATCAAATGTCTTCTGCTATAATCACCCACGCAACATCCAGGATTTTTTTTCAATTAAAACACCAATTAAATTTGATAGGCCATGTGTTCTATAGTCAAAAGTTGTTTGGACAGATTTATTCAAACATTAGTGAAGTCACAAATTTGGACAATAATAAAACAAAATATAACAACAAAAATATTAACTATAATAAATAACATTTGCCTTCTACACTTGCTATGCAAGAAAAAGTCCCCTTCTTTGTTTTTTCAATGGCACATGTTTTCTTTTCATGTCAGCTGTAAAAGTTACAATGGCTCCGATGGACCTTTGAATCTCGATGTGTGTGACTGTATGACCTCCTCTTTGCTGGGCTTTGTTTGCAATGCAATGTTGGCAGCTAGGCGAGGCACTTGGATACGGGATGATGGGTCTTTGAATCTGATTGTGGGGTCTAGTCTTCTTTGGATCACTCTGTCCATGAGATCATCTCGGAAATTTTGAGTTGTTTTCACATATATTGGTCTAGCAATCCACTGCTTTGATTGCTTTTGAAAGACAACATTGTGTCTTGTGAGGCCTGAAATCAAAAATATTATGAATGAATGAATTTTTTAAAAATAATCTTAAAAATGAATAATGTTCGTGCCAGCATTTATTTGAAGATCATGTTCATGTATGGATGATACAGAGAAGTGCTGAAAAAAACACTTTTACATTATAGTAATTTGCATTCCTTTAGTACTCACCGGAGGCTGTTGTTGCCTGTTCCCGCTTTGTGGAGTGATTCTCATTGTGATCCATAATGGCTAGCATAGTGCGTGCCTTCATTGAAGGGTATTGAAAATGAAGTCGCTTTGGACAGTACTTCAAAAGTGCATTGTGAAAGACCTCAAGTTGTCCTAAGAAATTAAAAAAAAAGAAAATGTTTTGCAATGTAAAAACAAGTGCATGAAAAGTTCTGTTCTTTCGATGCACTGTGCCATCATGAATAGGATGCATAGTACTATTATTCAAATGTGAGGTGACAATCCCCCCCTCACACAGACTTATTTGAAAATAGTTTTGCATAATCTATTCTCACTAAGACAGACTTGACTTTAACCATATTACTATTTAGTTAACACACATACCTGTGTGTTTGAACAGTGTCATCTGTTGTAGGTCTTTTATTAGACGTGTGTCCGTAATCATTGTTTGAAGGGCTTTGAAGGCAGGGGAATTCCCTTTTAGCCACCTCTTTGTTCTTTGCTCCTCTGCTGACAATTCCTGATGGAAACATCTGTATTCCATTCCGTTTTCTTCCCAGCGATGGATCCCAGTGATGTGGTGTTGGAGAGACATCCATCGTCGGAGCAGCTCCTAAAAATACAAAAGCAGAGGCACAATTTTAACCGTCTGTAATACAATTAATTTGACTTGCATGTTGAAGACCAAAATTTGGATGGACATTTCAGCTGCATATAGCATTTGATATATTGAATAGCACAGAATATAAATTTGTGATGAGCTTTATCTGTATGCTTGGTTACCTGTGCATCTCCTTTGGAGGTGCAACAGCTCCACCACATATGGTTGCTGACACTCCTGACCCAAGGAGAAAGATCCTTATATTCTTTTCTGTTGGATGCGGCAACCATTTTTTTTTTAAATCCTGAAAAAATATAGAAAATAAGTACACTGGGTAATCACATATATTACATAGACTACGGTGGCGCACCATTTCAGCCATATCCGTTACATATATACTTGTGTTTCATTCTCTTTTGTCTGTTTTTGCCTTTTGCAACATGGAAATGAGTACACTGCACACATTATACAGTCCCAAAAAATAATAATTTTTGAAAAAGTGCTAACAGAAAATAATGTATATAAAATATTTGTATTTGTTTTATATCTATACGGCTTAGACTAACAGTAAACTAACCTTTGGCAACATGCCACGGATCAAACTGATGAATTATAGAGGGATATTCTTCTCGCATAATTTTCCTTATGGACGGATGACGGTCTGTGGTGACCACTTTTACATCAATGCCCTCATCCAGGATCTTCTCCAGGGCTTTCTTGAAGGCCAGTGGTTCCATTGCGACTGAACTTGAAGCCTGGGAAACCTAGAGAGCCCAAATCAATGCATGTTGAAATTAAAAAAATATATATTATATAGCTTACCATATATTTGTGGAAAACATTGTCAATTTACCTGCATCAACTCAAACCCCACGATCTGGTTGGTGGAGTCATCCATAAAAGAATATGTGTTGTATTTACTGGAGTGTCCGGGGCTGTCACTTCTGCCGTCTCCACTTAGATGCACTCCATCTCCATCTTCACTTTGGCAAATTAATCTTGCTTTGACTATATTCTCCTGTTTTGTGTATGATTTCTCAATCACTGGGAGCAGGTAGCTAGCCTGTATGCTGTAATAAGTTGACTCCAGTGGCAACTGCAGGTTGAAAAGTCCAGCCCAGTCAGCTATATCAGTGTACGTTGAGCCAGTAAAGAGAGTGGCAGCTGCTGCAAAAAGGTTGTTTTCTGCCATTCCACGTATATTGGGACATGATTCCCATTGTCCCAAATGGCCATTGTTGCATTGCCAATTTATATTTATTCTACTGCCGCGATGTGTTACTGTGTGGTTCAGCTCACACATCGCAGCACCACAGGTAGTACATTTCTGAAAGAGTTCCATGAGTTTGGACTCATTTACAACCCACTTCCTCTCCTTCCAACCTCTGGCTTGTCCATAGATGCTTGAAGAACTTCCTGTGGTGGTGGTGGAGGGGCTTGAATTTGGCACAAAGCTGGTGTCAGCGGTATCAACAGCAGGCTCGGAAATCATGCTGACATCAAACAATGAAGTTGCACTAATATCCATCACAGTACCTTCTATGTGGTGTGTTTCCTGTTGTACACACATAAAAAAAAAAAATTAGTATTTGATTTTCAGATCTGATGTCACATAAGTGTAGGTCATATTACAATCATACAGTAAGTCTGTATAAAACATGAAAATTCATTATCTTACTGATTGTACGGTCCATGTGGGAGCCAGGGCAACAGCTGGTTTTCCTGAACGTAAAGGACTGGTTAGCTGTACAGACAAGGGGACTTTAAATGCAGCAGTAGGCTCTTCAGCTCTGTGCTTCTGGGGGGTTGATTGAAGTACACCAACAAAAAAGTTTTCCTCCTGTTCTGGCAGATCTTCCTGTACATCACTCAACTCTGCCTGAATAATAATTGACACAATTATGGCAGAAAAAAACAATGACAAGAATTATTTTCTTGGATAACAAATACAAACACAGACATAATTTATAATTATATATTATTTACATTATTCAAAGTAAGAATGAAGTATTATTACAGGGTATTACATAAGTAGAGAGTAGCCTACTCTTTCAGTGTTTCACCTGAGACAAAAATACTCCTCCCTCCTACAATTGTCACACATGGCATTAGCATGGTAGAACTAGCGTCAGTGTTTCACCAGAGACAGAAATACCCCTCCCCCTACCATTAGTCAAAGTATTAGAATAGTAAATGTATCCTTGCTGTCTCAAGATACTGAGAATCACATATGTTGCCACTATGACGTTATACTAAGGAGTTATACGGTTTTAGGCTTATACTAGCTACATTTTTTTTATCTGAGCTCAGTCCTTGTGTACATAAAACAGTCACTTTTTATTGACTGCCTCAGAAGCGTACTGATTTCACAGATATGATACTCAGCTAAGGGTAACGTTACTGACACTTCCAGGAAAAAAAAATAACATGCAAAGGTAAGTTACACTTACAGGGTTGGGTGATGATCCTCTTTCTTGGGTAAGTGTTCTGAATATTGATGGTGTAGCCTCTTCCTTTAAAAGTCTTCCTGTGCTGGTATAGTCCTCCTTGGTGAAATGATCGGAGCAAACACGCCACTTTTTTATAGTCAGCAATGGTGTTTTGGGATTCTTGTTCAAAGCAGCTAACCAAGCTCTCCGCTGTATGTGATGTGTTGGAACACGATGAAAAATGACAGCACTGTGTACATTCTCCTTATTTTCACAACCTTTTACGATACACGTTTTCACCATGACTGCAAACAAACTAGCTTCCAACAACCTGTTAGTTCGTCAACTCCGCTCAAACTACTACTACCGGCGCATGTCACGTTGGTTGTATTGACGGAAATGAGAGGGAGGAGGAGAGGAAGCGAGAGCCGGTAAGAGGACTTTTCACGAGTGAAGGTGTTATTGCGCCAAGTCGAAGACGTGCTCAAAAGCACTTTTGATGGTATTCCGCCATACAATATAGTCATCAACTTTAAACGCTTAGAAAAACACAACGTTTTATTTTTTGTCACCAGACTTGGTCGAGTTACACTACTCGAGTAACTGTGTTTAAATAGGGAAAACGAGGAAGTGTTTGGTGGCTTCTCTTTGTGGCCCATATTTAATGCACTGGGCTAAGCTAAGTGCTAACACAGTTTTGCGGCAATACAGAGCGATATAGTGCACGCACTGAGACGAGAGAGGTATGTATCAACTCGTCTTAGTTAAGTGAATAACATGGTTTAATATGAAAACACAGTGGAGTATCCCTTTAAGACACAATCTTCTTCATTTAAAATAAAGAAACGGAAGGATCTTACCAGTGCTGTGACCGCTATCTCTTATTGCGGTCTTTGAATTTGAAATTAGCTAATAATCAATAAAATGTAGCTCATAGCTGTTGCTTTCGGTGAAGAACTTGATTAAATCTGCATATAGCACGGGAATTGAAGATCGGATTTATATCCGTTTTGCGAAAAAAAACATTTATGTGAACAGGTGTAAATGGAATCGTTTTGATTAAACAATCCAATCTGAGAAAACGCATGAAGTGGCCAGGTGTGACTAGCCAACATGTCCGCTGAGTGGAACTACTTCACACTGGAAACACCACAGAGGAAGACAGCAAAATGCAATGTTTACAAAGCCGTAATTCAGAGAGGCGGAAGCTCTCTTGCGTCGTACAAGACAATAAACGCAATCAAAAATTCAACACCACGTTAAAGAGCACAAGGATTTTTTTAGCCAGGGGGCAGAAAGAGAACGGGAGCCGTCAGGAATCAATTGTTTTCTTTTGAAGAATAAGGTAGACTCTCACGTTAAGCTTAATCCAGGTCATCTTCAGTGACAAACCTCTTACTATACTTGATTTGTGCTGTTCAGATGCACACTGTTACTCATGGTTTATGAGGACAATATTCGGTTTATGAGGACTCATATGACTATTGTATGTGACTCAGCAGTAGACTATTGTTTTACAACACTTGTGTGTGTTTACTCATGGTTTATGAGGACATTATTCGGTTTATGAGGACTCATATGACTATTGTGTGTTACTCAGCAGTAGACTATTGTTTTACAACACTTGTGTGTGTTTACTTATGGTTTATGAGGACTCATATGACTATTGTATGTGACTCAGCAGTAGACTATTGTTTTACAACACTTGTGTGTGTTTACTCATGGTTTATGAGGACATTATTCGGTTTATGAGGACTCATATGACTATTGTATGTTACTCAGCAGTAGACTATTGTTTTACAACACTTGTGTGTGTTTACTCATGGTTTATGAGGACTCATATGACTATTGTATGTGACTCAGCAGTAGACTATTGTTTTACAACACTTGTGTGTGTTTACTCATGGTTTATGAGGACATTATTCGGTTTATGAGGACTCATATGACTATTGTATGTTACTCAGCAGTAGACTATTGTTTTACAACACTTGTGTGTGTTTACTCATGGTTTATGAGGACATTATTCGGTTTATGAGGACTCATATGACTATTGTATGTGACTCAGCAGTAGACTATTGTTTTACAACACTTGTGTGTGTTTACTTATGGTTTATGAGGACTCATATGACTATTGTATGTGACTCAGCAGTAGACTATTGTTTTACAACACTTGTGTGTGTTTACTCATGGTTTATGAGGACATTATTCGGTTTATGAGGACTCATATGACTATTGTATGTGACTCAGCAGTAGACTATTGTTTTACAACACTTGTGTGTGTTTACTAGGGATGAGTCGCGATCTTCGAATAGTCGAATAGTCGAACTGCGTTCGAAATTCGATCATAAAATTGCTTATTCGAATATCGTTATATTTTCGCGCAATTCCAATGTGACATAATTGACGGCGCGCCTACTGTCCTAGATCGCGCAGCAGGGTATTTTCCTGTCAGGGACACAGGTGTCACTAACATGAATGAAACCCCCTCCTGCGCGATCTAGGATACAAGCGTTTTATACATAGTGTAAACAAACAACAGAAGAAGAGCATTGTCGTGACCGTTAACTCTGCGCCCAACAGAGGTGGGTAGTAGACTAACCTTTACTGTCTATGGTAGTAACAAAGTAATCTACATTTACTTCACTACGTTGGACGACGTTCCTCTCGTTACTTTATTTTAATGCAATACATGTTGTTAAATGCGTAGTTTATTCCAAGCGCGCTGTGTCTTTTTTACGGGCTTGAGCGATGCTCCATTCACAAATGAATCACTCTTTTGAGTCGATTCTGTTCAAAGACTTCATCAAACAAGTTGGCAGATCTGTCTAAATCGGTTCGCGAATCAGTTTGAATGATCCGTTCAGTTCCTCGCGCACTGAATTGTCTGAAGCGCTTTATTCACACTCGACACGGAGTCGTAACAGGAAGATTTAAGAACATCAAGAGCATTGGATGAAGTGGCCGTGGACCTACAGTACAGTCTAGTGAAAGCAAATCTGCAAATGCATCATATTTTTGCCAGCGATGAAGATCTAGTTGAACATCTTCGTATGATGTCTGTGAATGAATGATTCCACAGGACGATACATTCTAGTTCATTTCATTCAGGTAATACATTTTACAACCAAACAGATTATTACTCAACGATGGCACTACAAGTATGACGACATTATCCGTTTTTTGGACATATACATTAATTTATAGGCTACATTAAATAAGCTACCATTGTCCACAGTTTATGAAATGAACACCCGCCATCCCGCGGTAATGTGGCATCACACGAATAGTTTTGATTGCAACTAATTTGTTTGAAAAGTAACGTTAGGCTTTTGCAGTAACAAGGCAGGTTTGCATAAAATCATTATGACATTATTTTTTTTCTCTAACGAGCATCTGGTTTGGCGATGCAAAAACGGACTGTCGTGCTTATTGTTTTTTTCTTATATGTTAACTACCGGTATGTTAAAAAAAACGACAAAAACATGTTCAATGTTCGAATAATAAACAGTTTGTTTGATGACAAATCGCTAAAGATGAAATTGGCCTCCCTTTCTGTAATTGTGAGTGTGCGTTTTTCTTTCTTTCTTTTTTTTCGATTTTCGAACGATAATCGACTTTTGCTCCTCGATTTTCGAATGTCATTTTTGGCAGAAATTCACATCCCTAGTGTTTACTCATGGTTTATGAGGACAATATTCGGTTTATGAGGACTCATATGACTATTGTATGTTACTCAGCAGTAGACTATTGTTTTACAACACTTGTGTGTGTTTACTCATGGTTTATGAGGACATTATTCAGTTTATGAGGACTCATATGACTATTGTATGTTACTCAGCAGTAGACTATTGTTTTACAACACTTGTGTGTGTTTACTCATGGTTTATGAGGACAATATTCGGTTTATGAGGACTCATATGACTATTGTATGTGACTCAGCAGTAGACTATTGTTTTACAACACTTGTGTGTGTTTACTCATGGTTTATGAGGACAATATTCGGTTTATGAGGACTCATATGACTATTGTATGTGACTCAGCAGTAGACTATTGTTTTACAACACTTGTGTGTGTTTACTCATGGTTTATGAGGACATTATTCGGTTTATGAGGACTCATATGACTATTGTATGTTACTCAGCAGTAGACTATTGTTTTACAACACTTGTGTGTGTTTACTCATGGTTTATGAGGACATTATTTGGTTTATGAGGACTCATATGACTATTGTATGTTACTCAGCAGTAGACTATTGTTTTACAACACTTGTGTGTGTTTACTCATGGTTTATGAGGACATTATTTGGTTTATGAGGACTCATATGACTATTGTATGTTACTCAGCAGTAGACTATTGTTTTACAACACTTGTGTGTGTTTACTCATGGTTTATGAGGACATTATTCGGTTTATGAGGACTCATATGACTATTGTATGTGACTCAGCAGTAGACTATTGTTTTACAACACTTGTGTGTGTTTACTCATGGTTTATGAGGACATTATTCGGTTTATGAGGACTCATATGACTATTGTATGTTACTCAGCAGTAGACTATTGTTTTACAACACTTGTGTGTGTTTACTCATGGTTTATGAGGACATTATTCGGTTTATGAGGACTCATATGACTATTGTATGTGACTCAGCAGTAGACTATTGTTTTACAACACTTGTGTGTGTTAACTCATGGTTTATGAGGACATTATTCGGTTTATGAGGAAAGTCATAAACGTAAAAACTCTTTTTCGCGTATAAATTGCACGATAGACACAATGCGTGCTATAGAGACGCATTTAGTGTGATCGGGTTGTCGTTGCAGATAAGACACACCGGCTTTGCATTTACAAAACTAGGAAGGATGAACGCATAGTTGTCTTTTTATTATTCTTTGTATAACTATTTTCGCTGTCAACTTCCCTTTTTAGACTCTTTGATAGTGCCATTTTCTCTCACCAGCTTAAATGTTAACACGACGTAATAGCGTAAAAAAAGTAGCTATGCAGTTTAGTAGGCTATGCGAGGATGCCAAGGAATAATTCTAAGTTTAAAAGTAGTCAACGTCAAATAATTATTACAATAAGTTAGACTCCATTGTGTAACAAGCAAATTAAAATGATACACATTTATTCACAATATGGAAAGAGGAAATAAAACATAGTTCGTTAAGAGCATGACTCAAAAATGCCATTAATGGGCTTATTCAAGTCCTCTTTTATTTTTTTTAGTTATTTTTATCCATTCCGCATCTCCCACATGTGTGTTTTAGCAAGGCAGGATGTGTTGCAAGATGCCGCAATATATCGGGAGACATGTGGGTCAGACATGATTTTGACCACTTCATTAAGTTTTGTTTTGTAGAAAGCCTATCTAAAAATTTAATTTCGTTTTGTATCATTTGTATCTTATTTTTAATCAATGTTTTATCAACCAATTGCTTGTATTTAATAAAAGCAAATATAGCAGACAATATAATCGGACATGGAGGCGCCGGCGAGATTGCATTGCTCGTGAACTGGAGCTCGTCTCATAAATTAACCGAAACTCAGCGTTTAAGCTGCCTCACAGACACGAAAATATATAGAAAGCTTAAAAATGTCTAATTTTAAACGAAACAATTCAAAACGAAAAGAAACCGACTACTCTCTGCTTATGTAATCCATATGAAATGTGCATTTCTCTCTATAGGCGCGTTAACTACTGCGGTCACTATTGCAGCCGACTGAGCCGACACAAGACACTTATAAACAATTAAAATGTCTCCTTGCTATATTTGAAACATTCATAATCATTACTTTTGCCGGTTCCTTGTG